GGTTTCACTCTGCAGCCATATGTACTTTTTTGGGGCTCTACTCAGGTGTTTTTTCAACGCTGACACCAATTATTAGTAGTCAAGGTGACCAATACCTGATATTTGGAGCTGATACACATTTGAAGTAAAAAATAAAATCAGCAAAATCAGTCAAACAACATGTAGTTATAAAGACAACTTTCCAACATTAATTCTTTGGTGGTGTTGATTAAAGGATTAATGGTCGAGACCACAGAGTGACGACTACAAAAACAAAAACAATGCAACAGTTTGGATCAATCTTTTTAAGTTATGATCATTTCTAATTAAATAATGTTCAGCCATTGAACTCCACTGAGTTAGGAGAATTAGCTTTTCCGCTACAAAGGTATTGATAACTAGCACTGACTCAATGATTGGCAAAATAGCACAAAGTCAAGTTTTTAAGTCGATTACTTGTCAAAAATTAGGTTGTTCCGACCAGAATTTCCATGTTACCTAAAAGAATTTCTTGTGATACGTACGTAATTTTCTGAATTTTTAAATCAACAAGTTGTTCAACTGTTAGGTCGGTCGACAAGGGGACTGAAAATCTTAAACTTATAATGAAGAAAGATGAAGTTATCTACCCAGTTTCATTAAGCTGCTAACTAATGCAAAAGAAATTTAGTTTATATTACAGTCGTAACTCAATAATCTGACACTAAAACCTTCTTTAATGTCGAATAGCAAGGCTGTCGGATTGTCAAGACGGAGGTCAAGATAAAAGGAGGGCTTGATGCTTGAAGGGTCATTCGTTGTTAATGTTCATGGTTTATAGTTGTTACAATAACTAGTGTATTGCTAGCACACTACACATCGCTGGATTTCACGCCTAACTGAGCGGTGCACTTGTGCACATTCCGGCCACTTCCACCCCGGGGGGAGCGTTCCAATGGGGGGAAAGTGGCTGGAACACACAGGCAGCACTTGGCTGCTGATGCCAGTTTAGGATAGTGGCCACAGTTCTGTTTCCACCATCGGTGGCGGCGGCAGCACCACTCCCCCACCGCTGCCGCCGCCGCCATCCATGTTTACTTCCGTAAACGCTGAGCACGCTTGCCGCGTGTGACGTTGTCGTGTTGTCTTCTGCGCATGCGGGACACTTTTGGGTCGTATGAAGTTCACACAGCAGATCACATACAAGTCGTATTTTATTGGAAATATGAACGAACTCGCAAAAAAATCTGATTTCACAAAAAAAAATCCGAATTGAGCATCAAGTCCTGCAGTCTGAACGTAACCAATCTGTCGGATTGTTCAGTCAGATAATACGCCGTTATCCTTATTTGTGACATAAAACGTCATGTCGGAGTCGGAATCCGAGGCTGTCGGTGTGTTAAAGCTGTTTTTAAGGGGTTCCGTTCGTTTTTCCTAAAAACCTGTCAGATAGCAAGGTCTTCTGATTGTTAAGGGTCGGATTATCAAATCACGACTGTATGCACGATATTAAGTTGATGCAACATTATTATGTCAGCCAAACCCATCAAAATAATATTTAAAAGGTTCATCTAAATATATATATTGAAATCATGTATTTAATCAAATGATGGAAAAAGATCCCTTGAATTACTTTTTAGAGACAGAAAGAGGTAGCTGCATCAGAGCCAAAGAAGCATATTTTTAAATTCATTTAACTTATTGTGAACTGGTTAAATAAACAACAATACCAGTAGTTGATCCCTTGTAATAACTCCACTGAATGCAGGTCTATTTTATTTGTGCAGTCTCAAGGAGTTTGAGTGTTCTTGTTGTGAGGGTGCAGATTGCAAACAGAGCCAGTGTGGTGTCGGGGTCACAGCGAGAACCGACACACACTGTACTGATTTAAGCTGCTCCGAATTGTCTTGGTATGCGCAGGCTCTTACACGAAGAACGGACGAGACAGATAGTCAGAGAGCGTGCTCACAGTCCAATGCACACACACACAAATGCAAGAAAAAACACATGCGCACGCTAAGCCAAATGTGGACATGCCAAACAGAGACGAACACAAATCAAAACAAAGCATGCAAACACAAAAGAGATCCAGAGAATGAAGAAGACAGAGAGAATAGCACAGTCCCATCTGTCAAACAAATGTGAGGATGCTTCTAACACACACACACACAGACACACATGCATCCACAGCAAGCATCATTTAGTCTGAACTTGAGCGATATCTGCCTTTGTCCTTTAGCAGTCGGTCCTGAGGGGCCGCTGTAGAAGTTGCATGAAAGTTTGTTTAGAGCTGAGCAAGTGTGTTAAGCTTTATGAGAGCCCATGGGAGACATGGTGGCACAAACACACACACACACACGCATGCATCCGCTCATATACACACACATGCAACACACTCAGGCACGAGGCTTGGGCGGCAGCTCGCAGTGGCCCCAACCAACAGTGAGGAGTTTGTTGTCATAGCAACAGTAAAATGAGATGACTTTACTGTCAGCCGTAATGTTTCATGGCCCCCTTGCCGCTATGGCAACATAACAAGGAGGAGGAAGAGGAGATAGAGAGAAAGAGAGCATCAGAGCACACATCTCTGCATTCCAGTGGACTCCTACTAGGAACAATGTCACCACGATGCCCTTTCTTCCCTCTCAAGACAAAACACACACACACACACACACACGCGCACACCGTGACAAGCCTGTCAAACACACACTCGCACAAAGAGACGCGCACACCTTGAAAAGCCTGTCAAACACTCCGCTTCCAACCTCGCCCATCCCTTTGATTATGTGCTCACTATTTTCAGCTTATCGTCACCGGGGCAATTTGAATTCATTATGCTCAATGTCAATATTGGTGCAACAACGCTGTACCTCAGACAGGTACAGCTTGTTGAATGAGCGTGTGCGCTGTCAGACAGCGTGAGAAGTGAAAAGAGAGAGAGGAAGCGGAGATGAGATCAAAGACATTCAGCGTTTTTTTTTTTTTTTCTTTCCTGCACCGCGGAGACAGTCGGATGGAGCAGCGAGGTGACTATAGGCTGGCCGACTATACAGCGCAGCAGCTATACATCACAATGCTATATTTAGCTCAGTCCTTCCACTACAGCCTATCAACACTGTTAAGCTGAGTTATCTACGCTGCGAGAAAAAGTGGAAAATAGGTGGAAGAGTGCGGAGAGGGAAAAACCGCAGAGGAACGTTGTTTTGTTCTGTTGCCATGGGGACGCGGTGACCAAAGCTGCAGCGATCCGGCAGTTGTCATGGCACAGCGGGTTGCCATGGGTGACAGCTGTCAGTCAGTAGTGGAGATTTGCTGTAGTTCCTGGTTGCACCACCAGGTGGAGCCTCGAACTGTTTGCTGAGATGGAGTTACAGGTGTGTTTGCTGACCGCCTGAGAAGAAAACTAGTTGTCTAACTGCTAACTGTGGCAGTCGTGTTTGTGCTCTTTGGTTTAGCCAGCAACCTGAGGCTAATGCTAGTATTTTCAAATGCTAACACAGAGCTGGACATCGGTTAGAAGGAACAGCGCTAGCGTTCAGGAGCAGCAGAACTCTAGTTGCATGCTTCCAACAATATTCAAGCTAAAGTGATGAGGTGTACCATTCAGCGTTTTTTTTTTCCTTGCGACGCAGAGACAAGCGTGTCGAGCAGCGAGGTGACTATAGGCTGGCCGACCATACGCGGAGCAACAGCGCAGCCGCTATACATCACAATGCTATATTTAGCTCAGTCCTTCCACGACAGCCTATCAACACTGTTAAGCTGAGTTATCTGCGCTGGTAGAAAAGTGGGAAAAAGGGAGATAGGTGGAAGACACAGAAAACAGCAGAGAGGATGTTGTTTTGCTCTGTTGCCATGGGGACACGGCGGCCAGAGCTGTAGCGAACTGACAGTTGTCATGGCACAGCGGGTTGCCATGGGTGACAGCTGTCAGTCAATCACGCAGAGTGAGGGGACAGATCGGCCGATGATCACCTTGGATTAGGGAGCGATCGCGGCACACAGGGGCCAGCCAGAACATATCTCGACTTAATCCCCGTGTCCTAATGGTGCTGCACTCTGGTGTGTGTGTGGTCTCATCCATGTTTGTGCGTGTCAGAACCTGTGCATGCAAATTTTGATTTTCTGTGTGTGTGTGTGTGTGCATCCCAGCGACGGTGGTGTATGTGTGTGTCTAGACTCTGCAACATGTGCAGCGTGAGTGGAGCAGATTACATTTTGCTGTAGCTGCTGCCTGGGTCCTTCCCACAGCTGTCTGTGCTAGAGGACAATCAAAGGCCCGGTTTGTGAGCCTTCTGATTGTGGTGTGATACTCAGACCCGTTTCCCCTTCAATTACCGCGCTCTGCCTGCGTGTAACGAGCACAGCATTGCTCTTATGTTAGCGGAACAACGGTCTGATTAGAATAAGGGATGGATTTGAACTCCAGCTCTAATTTGTTGCTTTCTTTTTCTTGGCAAATTTCCCGATCGTGATCATCTCTGCTACCAGACATCCTGCTGTGGAACTAAGCGACCATTGGACGCTGTTTGTAATGTTGTAAATTCCAGAGTTAAAGTTTTTTCTGCTCTCATTTATCCCACCACCCTTGACAATTAAATTTGCTCCTGCTGTAGAGATGTTAAATCACCGACAGTTTCTGTGACCCTGTAACTATTAGACCTTTAGCAGTGTTCATATGTTATGACAGCAACCCCTTGTAATGTCAATACTTTGCTGGTACCCCAGTAATTAGGGGGTAGTCGTACAAGGCAACATTTCCTCAACCAATGAAGCACTAAATTTGCCGTACCAGTCAGAATTGGAGAGAAAGCCCCAGAGAAAAATGATGATGTATATTTTCCCCCTCAGATCTAATGCAGCCTAATTGGGAATGTGGTCAAAAAATCTTGTTGCGTGCCTCCACCCTTTGGCCTTTCACAAAAATGAAGGCTTTATGTGACGAAGCAACTGACTTTCACAAGCTGACCTCGTTTCTCTTCTGTCCTTTTCCTTCTTTCCTCCCTCATGTCCTCTCTTCTCTCTGCTATCTTCGTCCTCAGGAGTGAGCCCTGGGCTGGATGGGACCCACCATGCCCCCCAGTAAGAAGGCCCAGAGCCCCAGTAGTGGAGCCAGTGCCTCGCAGGGCATGAGCCCGCCGTACCGGCAGGGGGATGCCGCCACGGCGGCGTCCGAGGCCGAGGCGGCCGACCTCTCCCTTTCCCTGTCTGCCTCCTTCTCCAAGGCCGAGGACGAGGAGCTCACCAGCCTCTCCTGGCTCCACGAGAGCACCGACCTCCTCAACAGCTTCAGCCACTCTGGGCTGCGTAGCGTCTCTCCTCTGCAGGACCCCGACGGTCAGCACCCCCGCTCGCCCTCCTCCTCGTCTCCTTCCCCGGACGACCCCCTGCTCGGGGATGCACACTCTGCGTACGACTTGGCGGCAGGCGCCAACCGGAAACCTCCGTACTCCTTCAGCTGCCTGATCTTCATGGCTATTGAGGACGCACCAAACAAGCGGCTGCCGGTGAAGGATATCTACGGCTGGATTCTGGAGCACTTCCCTTACTTTGCAAGCGCCCCTACAGGCTGGAAGAACTCAGTGCGCCACAATCTGTCGCTCAACAAGTGCTTCAAAAAGGTGGATAAAGATCGCAGCCAGGTAAGGAGCTTGCTGCACAGCGTTTAATTTATCTCAGTGTCTAAAGGCTGGCTATGATTGACAATACTCCTAGTTCCTTTTTCAGTTTATTTGCTATTCTCTGATCATGTTCTGGACTTACAGTTTTCGTGCAAGTTGTTGCATGGCTGCAGCAAGCTATCGGTTGTAGTTCTAAACATTATTTTAGCATCATTCTAACCAGGAATGTTTCATGCAGCTTGTTGTGTCAAGGATTTTAAGCTATCATGTTGGCTAGTGTTTGCTTCTCAGCCAAACCGGAGACCACTGCAGTTATCACTACATATAACTTTGACTAAACTAAAACAAAGACTATTTTTGAGAATAATCGTGAAGCATTCTAGTGTTGAAGCCCTTTCCTCAACCAGTGCTGTGTTGATGTCTGCATGAATACTTGTGAATATTTTCTAAAATGTGTTTTTTGAGGATAACAACCACTTTGCAGTCTTCCTGTTGGGAGAGATGTCCCTATCCCTAGAATATCCCTCGTATATTAATCATTATATAGAGTATGCACCAATACTGTGATATGTAAAAACCAAGGTGTTTCCTGGATAGAGGAAGATTTTCTGGTGTTGCCCGAAAGAGGTTTTCGTTAGCGGTAAGAAAATTCAGGGGCGACATGATAAGAATGAAGAATACTTTTCACCAGTTTGTTAATTCTGGTTTCATTTACTCAAGCATAGCAGACGTTTCAGCTTATCAAATGGTCTTGCCTTGGCTGTACCCAAAGCGATTTTGCTGTCATGTGCAGTCGGGATGTTGATAATTTATTTGATAAAAATATATTGCCTGGCAATGCAGAAGTTGAGGGACATGCATGTGAGAAAATGCATGGAGGATTTGTTGTAGTTCCTGGTTGCTACACCAGGCAGAGCCTCTCACTGTTTATTGAGATGGAGTTACAGGTGTGTTTGCTGATTGCTCATAAGGTTCCCATAAAACGAGTGCACCTCCCTGCTGTCTAACCGCTGACTGTTGTGTTGATGAACTTTGCAGCATCAAGTTATGATAAAGTTGTCGGGCGGTTGTCCAGTTAAACTCGCTACCTGAGGCTTATGCTAATGCTAAGGTAGGACAGGCTGTGTCTGTTGGCAGAGAGGCTGCTAACATGTAGGAGCAGCAGGACTCTGATCACATGCTTCCAGCAACATTCAAAATGAAGTGATGACGTGTATCGGTAACGCTCTGCTCTGAGTATAAATACATTTCAGAGGAAGCAGTAAATACAGACAGATTTCCTGGACTGATAAAGTTGCTGCAACAGTATTTGTGGACATCAGCTGAGCAGCTGGTTCAGCAGCTGGACTACCGTTATGAGTCACTCATCATGTACATCAGCTATGAGGATTATTTTGAAATCTAGTAGCTGTGAAGACATTAATAATATTACAGGTTGTTTAGTGTTTGCAGTTCGTTTGCTGTGTTTCATGTTTTGGATTTTGTTGAGCCGTTCACTGAAGAGCAATTCTAAATGAAGCGATTATTGCTGTTATTTAATTTATGATTCGATAGCCTGGTGTTGACCGTCTTTTCCAAATGTAATTGAGCCGATTTTGCACTAAACCTTAAGTGTCAGTGGTTAAAACTGTTTTACCAACATTTGCTAAAAACATTCACTGTAATGATTATCGATAGTTAACGAGGCCAATGATTGGAAATTGTTTAACATCTGCATCACTATTGTGCGGTCATTCCCTGAAGGCTCATTCTGAGCCAAGACAAACCCTGGAAACCCAACTTTATATATCTTGATCAACCACAGACTTACACTGGCTCCTGTCAGACTCTTGGAAGCGATCGAAGTCTTTTTCTTTCCCAGTTAGCATTTTTCAGACTGTGTTTTTTTCGAGTGCATCACCTTTGACAGCAACAATTCCTGTCTGACAGATTTTCTCCCTCCTTTAAGACGTCATAAGACTCATTTTTATTCGTCAGGAATTTATTTCCTTTGCGGCAGCAGAACACAAACTTTTAGACACTCCTGCAGGTGAAACCAAACACTTTTAGAGCTGATCGATTTTGAGAACAACTCGACAAATGGACTTGTTACCAACATGAATGCTACAAAAACCCACAATTCAACACTCTTTTTAGAACACTGGTTTACAATGCGGCTCTATCATTCAAAAAGAATAAATGATGTGATGAACAAATACTCCTCTCGCCCTTGAAGATCAGACGATCCCCACTGTTTGGAAACCTAATATTTAGAAAGAAAATGTTTCGCACGTGGACCAATTTATAAAGATTAAACTTAAAAAGGTAAGAATTCATAGTAAAATATGAAGTAAAATATTTGTCTGTTCACATTTAAACCTCGCTGAAGCACATTCATGTAAGTCCAGTCCAATCGTATTAGTTTTAAAATCTGTTCTAATATCACTTTCAGGTCAAACTGTAAAGGTTATTGGGTGCACAGTTGTGATCAAAAAAAACGATGGGGGCGTTGAACCTCCTCCCAGACAACACTGGTCAGAATCATTGCTCATCAGTCGTATTTTGTATACCTGCATCGCAAAATCTCCATGTAGCCACAAGCTAAATTCACCCTATCGTGTGTGGTTATAACTTATTTCACAGCCAGACAGTTATCAGCCGTTTGCAGGCATATCCAACTTGAAGTCAAACATATTCTGTATTTTGTCTACAGCTGTACCAGATTCGGCCTTATCAATAGTTGATGATCTCTGCTTTCATAGTTCTCTTTCACTCTGACGTTCTGTGCTTCCCCAGTGGGAACAGCATTTCGCTTTTGATTTAAGTCTTGATACAGTCTTTTATACTCGCTTTCCCATCCAGATTTTACTCCATTAAAGACTCAGGGTAAACGGGGAATGAATCCCTCACTCAATTAGTGCTAAATTAATACTGGAGGATTTAATAACACAGATGCCAACAGACTTTAGATTTCATCTCGCCCGAGGGTGCTGGGGGTGGGGGACAAACACCGAGGATCAATGCTAGCTTTGCGTGTTTGGCTGATTGAGATTATACTGGGGGATATGAGAGCTCTTTATGCTTTCCTTGACCGGCGTGTGAATCTGAAATCTCCCTTTTGAGTTGAGTGAGCACAGTGTGTGTGTGTGTGTACGTGTGTGTGCGTGCGGGAACAAAATGGATGAAGGATGAAGAGGACATGGTGTGTGTTCATGTGTGTGTCTGTGCGCACACACACCCTCACGCTATGCTGTCATCTGGCCCTTGACTACAACGGCACAGAGTTTCTCTTGTATACATATCTCCATAGTAACAAGGTTGCAGTTGACATAAAAGTATGCTGTTGCTGTAGCAACGGGAAAACTGATTTGGCTTTACTGACTTAGGCGTGTACGTGTGTGTGTGAGAGTGTGTGTGCGCGCGTGTGTGTGTGAGCTTGAAATGGGCACTGAGGTGTCGAGTGGGGGAGAAAGAGTGTGTGTGTGTGTCCTCGTCTTGTGTTAAATGCGCATATGCGTTAGTGTGTGTGTGTGTGTGTGTGCAGCATGTGTAGAGGTGATTTTGGCAAGGACGGCTCGTCTTGTCTTCCCGTCGCTGCACACTGTTTAAGACAGCACGCTAATTAACCCTTCAAACCTATTCCCCCCTCTCTCTCTCTCTCACACACACGCACACACTCCCAAACACACAACGCAGGGCATGTCTGACACACAAACAAACAGAGCTCGCACAAGCACGCATGAATGCTTTAAAGGACCCGCACGCGCACACACACACACACACATGCGAGCGCTGTGTCGGTGTAGAAATGAGGGCACATCTCTGCAGACTCTTACTCTACCTGCCAAGTGCTGTGCTTTATCTGAAGCTGCAATTACAGAATCTCTGTAATTTTAGTCAGACTCTGCCATTCAATGCTTTTCACTGAGAATATCTGCATGTGAATGCACCTTTTTTTTTTTCCCCTCGTCTCTCTCTTTCTGTCTCCCCCCCTCCTGCTTTGCTTTTTTTCTCCCCCTTTTTTTCGTGTTTATGTCTTTTTAGAATCGAGCATGCAATTACAGGGTGTAAGATATTTTTCTTTATGCTGCATTATGTTTTACTCGCCGCTCGCTTGTGGTAAAAGAAGAAAGACAAGGGGATTTTTTTTTTTTTTTGGGTTGTTGTTGTCGTTGGGGAAGGCGAGGTCAAGTTATCGTTGTGAGGGATAGATGTGCACGAGGGAGAAAAAAAAAAAGAAGAGTGAGAGAAATGGGGAAGCGGGGAGACACGGCTTACTGTGAATGCACCAAATTATATTTCCATCAATTTACAGAGGTGGAGATTAATATGACAGTGGCCTATTTGTTCCAGTGGCTGTATTTCTGGGTCATATCCAGGCAGATGACAAGATGGGGACTAGTTTAGAATAAGCTCGCTGCTCCATGCATGTGTGTGTGTGTGTGTGCATGCATGTGTGTGTGTGTGTGTCAGTCTTGCATGTGGGAGTGCAAACTTGTGAGCGTGCGAGAGTGCGAGTCCCACGGTTGCCATGGCTTTGTTTACAAACAGGATTCTTCGCCGTGCTGAATGACATGCCTTAATGACAAGTGTTGTTGCCCTCAGACTTGTGGATCAGTGCAGAAGATCAGTGTTGTAACAGCACAACACACACAGATGTTCGCGCGCACACACACACACACACACACACATGCGCGCAAACCGAGCGATATATCTCTCAAAGCCTCTTATGAAATCACAGCAGAGAGAACAGGCAGTTTGGTAATCTAAGACTCACTATGAAGTCTCTTGGTGTTGCACTTAAGTGTGTCACCTCTAACTTAACCTTGCCCTGTTCGCACGAGAGGCGTCCTTGCTTCTTTTACCTTTTAACACCCGCGGTTTTATGAACTGTGGCGTCTGGAGTTGAGCATACATTTGGTTTAGTTGATGTGCATTTGTCAGCAGTTTGTTGTTGCAGCTGCTGGATGCTAAAAGTAGATACGACTGAGTTGGATTTTCTCTTGAAATCACAAGCAAAATAATTGATTTTTCCAAAGGTT